CCACCCCAAAAACTCTGGAGCGGCGATGCACTAATAGGAGCTGGTGGTGCACTGTAGGACTGCTGATCAGAATACTACATATAAGAACCACGGCCACCTGAAGCATCGTGAGAAACCTGAAGTGTTGTCTGAAAAGGCCTAAGAGGATGGCCTCTACCATACGAATCCCTGCCTCCAAACGAGGCGCCACTGAATTTGCCTGAATGATGAGGCCTCTTGGAAGACCCCTGACCCCCCCTCCATGATAGAACCATCTCAACCCTCCTGGCCATATTGGTCGTATCCTGAAAGGAAATCTCGCTCCTCGTCTCCTTAGCCATCTAAAGTCGAATAGGCTGAATGAGTCCCTCAATGAACCTCCTCACACTCTCTCTCTCTCTCATAATGGGAAGTATAAGAAGAGCATGACGGGCCAAGTCGATAAACCTGGTCTCGTACTGAGTAACATTCATAGAACCCTGCCGGGGACGCTCAAACTGCCTCCAATAGTTCTCCCTCTGAGTGATAGGAAGAAACTTCTCCAGAAATAGCTGAGAAAACTGATCCCAAGTCAAAGCTGGTGACCTAGTGGGTCTAGCCAAACAATAATCTCTCCACCAAGTCTTAGCAGATCCAGAAAAATGAAAAGCAGCAAAGTCGACCCCATTGGTCTCCACTATCCCTATGTTCTAAAGAACCTCATGACAACTGTCTAAATAATATTGGGGATCCTCAGAAGATGCATCGCTAAAAGTAGTAGTGATGTTCTTGGTGAACTTATCCAATCTCCACAAGGCATCTGAAGATGTAGTTGATCCATCGCCGGTATGAGCTGATGCTCGGCTGAAGAAGTGGTACGTGACCTCGCCATTCGTGAAAGAACAAGAGTAGGTGGTTCAATTTACCAGTGAGAGAACAAAATCGCATGACAGAGAAGAATAAATGTGAAGTTTTTCCTAACTCTGTAGCCTCTGGGGGATAAATACAGACGTCTATGTACCGATCCCTCAAACTCTACTAAGCTTGTCCGTGAGTTGTGAGACCTATGTAACCTAGAGCTCTGAAACCAACTTGTCACGACCCGGATTTCCTACCCTCCGGAGTTGTGGCCTACTGGTGAAAGCTAGGCAAGCCAACCGTTGAACAATTTACCTTTTTCCCATTTTTAATCCTTTAATAATTATGAACCAACAGTTTATAAACAGCAAAATTTAAAGAAGCAGAAGAAAAACAAATAAAACCATTTAAATATTTCCAATACAATTTCTTAAGCAAGGACTACACAGAACTGGTGTCACAACTTCACAAAGGGTCTAGGAATACTACAAATAAGGTCTGAAAAATAAATACAACACTGTTCCTAAAATACGTAAATGAAACAGGACGAAAGGATAGAGGGAGATGCCAAGGCCTGCGGATGCCTGCAGGACTACCTTGGATCTCCGTATGGACTGAAGGCAGCAACCCCAAAGCTAAGGTCTAAAAGTTGCTGTGTCGGGATCTACACACAGTGTAGAGTGTAGTATCAGCACAACCGACCCCATGTGCTGGTAAATGCCTAGCCTAATCTCGGCGAAGTAGTGACGAGGCTAGTACCAGACTACCAAATAAACGTGTGCAGTTAAATCATATACAACGGAAAATAAAAGCAGGAATGTACAGTTTAGAATGGGAGGGGGAAAACATGTTGCGGGGAAACATCAATTGATGATAGAAGGACAACAGGTAAATACAAGGAACACCATAACTCAGGTATCAACAAGAATCAGAAATCAAACAAGTGCATGGCATCACCCTTCGTGTTTTTACTCTCGTACTCACCATAAGAATCAATATAATCTGCACGACATCATACTTCGTGCTTTTACTCTCGTCCTCACCATAAACATCAACATAATCGGCACAGAATTGTACATCGTGCGGCACGGCATCACCCTTCGTGCTTTTACACTCTTCCTTACAAAATCATATACGGTATCACCCTTCATGCTTTAACACTCTCTCACCAAAATAATGCATGGCATCACCCTTCGTGGTTTAACACTTTTCCTCACCCAAACAACAATCACAAACAATAAGGGCAAGGAAATAAGTAAAATCACAATAAAATTCCGGCAAGGGAACAATAGTTCAACAACCAAATCCCGACAAGGGAACAATAGCAAAGGCACAAACATCCCGGCAAGGGAGACTATTAAAAGCAACAACATCCAGGCAAGGGAGACAACATAATAATCTTCATTTCTTTTTCATATTTACTTCACAACTTGAGCCAATGCTCTATTAGGTTCAATTGCCAATTATACTTACACAATTCATTATACAATTTCAGCCAACGCTCTTCAATATTCAAATACCACTATCACTTCCACAAGTTTTGCTCAATAATAGAAATCATCACATAAGGCATGAACAATACAAATTGAGTCATAATAGTCATAATATAATACTCCTGGGCATGCTTGACACCAACGTATAGATACTCGTCACCATGCCTATACGTCGTACTCAACAAATAACACATAGCAAATAGGACACAACTCCTAATCCCTTAAACTAAGGTTAGACCAAACACTTACCTCGATGCCACGAACACAATTCAAGTCTCAACTATCGCGTTACCTCTTGATTTCACCACCAATTCGCTCGTATCTAGCCACAAGTTACTTAACTATATCAATAAATGCTAAATGAATCAATTCCAATGCATGAAAATAGGTTTTCTAAAGTTTTTTCCAAAAAGTCAAAAATCGTCCCCGGGCCCACATGGTCAAAACACGAGGTTCGAACCAACCAAAACTCGATTACCCATTCCCCCACGAACCCAAATATATAATTTGTTTTGAAATCGGACCTCAAATCAAGGTCCAAATCTCCAAAACCTTTGATTTGAGTTGAAATCATGAGAAGAGATGTTAAAGATTAATAAAAACAAGTTAGAAATGACTTACAATCGATTTGGAAGAGTACTTGTCTTTGAAAAATCGCCCAAGAGTGTTTGGTTTTGAAAGGGTTTGAAAAATGGTTGAAATGCGTCTAAGTTATGATTTTGTAGGTTGCATGTGTCGCAATTGTGACCAATTGCGAACCCCTCAGACTGCTAAATTCGTATTTGCAATTAATGTTCGCAATTGCGAACTTGCTTTTGCGATAGAATTGTTGCATTTGCGACGACTGGGGAGTTCAGGGCATTTTTGCATTTACGAAGGGACATTCGCATTTGCGATATCGCTTTTGCGATAAACTCATCGCATTTGCGACCCAAGGCAGCACAGGTCGTCTTCGCATTTGCGAAGCCTGCAGACCTGCAACATACCAGCTAAAAACTTGCAACATCCTAAGTTAAATTCCACTTCGTGGCCTATCCAAAACTCACCCGAGCCCTCGGGGCTCCAAACCAAACATGCACACGAACCTAAAAACATCATACGGACTTGCTCGTGCGATCAAATCATGAAAATAACATGTAAAACTATGAATTAAACCTCAAAACTCACCATTTTCATCAAGAACACTTTAAAGTTCATAACTCTTCGACCAAATGTCCAAATCACGTTAAATAAACTTCATTTTCACCAAATTTCACAGTTATCATTTAAATACTTTAACAAGTTTGTACCGGGATCCAAAACCAAAATACGGGCCCGATACTAATGGTTTCAAACATTAATTCTTTTCTTTATTTCATAAATAATTCAGCAAAATAATTTCTTTCAAAAATTAATTTATAAGGCTTGGGACCTTGGAATTCATTTCTGGGCATACGCCCAAGTCTCATATTTTACTGCAGACTTCCCGGGATTGTCAGAATACAGATCCAGGTTTGTTTGCTCAAAATGTTGACCAAAGTCAACCATAATCAAATTCTAACTCTAGAAATGTCTACTTCTCATATTTTTACATAAAAGCTTTCTGGATATACGTCTGGACCATGCACGTAAATCGAGGTGAGGTAAAAAGGAGGTTTTAAGGCCTCAAAATACAGAATTTATTTTTAAAACAAGTGATGACCTTTCGGGTCATCACAGTTCTGTACAAGATAATTTCAAACAACAAGAATGCAGGATGTGATGGAAGAATTGATATATAATTGTCAAGCTACTTTTTTACCTAGGAGATTGATTACATACAACATACTTATGAGCCATGAACTGGTCAAGGGATATAGAAGGAAGAATATTGCTCCTAGATGCATGCTCAAAATAGAAATGCAAAAGGCATACGACTCTGTGGAATGGGTGTACATTGAACAAGTACTGAAATTACAGAACTTCCCTGAAATGTTTGTGAAGTGGATAATGGCCTGCATCAAAATTGTGTCCTACTATATGCTAATCAATGGTAAGCCTTTTGTACCATTTGAAGCAAGAAAAGGTTTAAAGAATGGAGATCCATTATCCCTTTTCCTTTTTGTTCTAGCAATGGGATTTGCAGATAACTTACTCCTATTTTGTAGAGGTGATATTCAATCAGTACAGATGTTGCACAAGCACTTCCAAATGTTCTCAGCAGCCTCAGGCCTAATTGCTAATCCAAACAAAAGCAGCATTTAGTTTGGTGGTGTGAATAACATGTTTCAGCAGCAAATTATGGACATACTAGGCTATACAAAAGGTGAGCTACCATTCAGATATCTGGGTGTTCCATTAAACACTAAGAGGTTGTGTGGCATTCAGTGTGAACCCTTAATAGAGAGGATGTTAAGCAGAATTCAAAGCTAGACCACAAAATTTCTATCATATGTAGGATGAGCAGTCCTAGTCAAAACTGTGCTATTTGCTATACAAACTTTCTGGGCTCAGATCTTCATCTTGCCTCAGAAAATTATCCATTTCATAGAAGCAATTTGTAGAATGTTCTTATGGACAGGAAATGCTGAACCAACAAAGAAGACTTTGATAGCCTGGGACAAACTATGTGCACCAAAAGTAGATGGGGGATTTAACTTCATCAATGTGGAGCTATGGAACAAATCAACCATTTGCAAGTTACTATAGAGTATTTGCACAAGGAAAGAGAAGATGTGGATTCAGTGGATGCATACTTACTACATAAAGGGGAACACGGTATGGAATACAGAACCAAAGAATGCATCATGGGCCACACAAAAGATTTTTAAAGCAAGAAACTACTTTGCAAATGCAGGGCTCTCAGAAGAAGATGTCCAGAAGATGGAGAAATATTCTGTCAAACAACTATACAAAACCATGCAAGGAGACTTTCCAAAGATGACATGGAGAAAACTAGTATACAACAATCAGGGACAACCCAAGTGGACATTCATTCTAAGGCTAGCAATTCAGCAAAGATTGTCTACTAAAGAAAAGCTAGCAAGATGGGGTATAATTGCAGAACAAACATGCTCATTGTGTAACAAGGAAAATGAAACAGTGCAACATCTATTTTTTGACTGTGAGACAACAAGGAAAATATGGCTTCGACTACTGGAATGGCAAGGTATACGAAGACCAAAGAAAGCTTGGCAAGAGGAAGTGACATGGATGGCACAGATAAGCAAAGGAAAGAGTGCATGCGCAACAGTATGTAAGATGACCCTAGCAGCTGTAGTCTACCACATTTTGCAAGAAAGAAATAGTGTGATTTTTCAGAAGAAAACGAGAACAAGCAATGTCATATTACGACTAATCATATAGGAAGTTCATATAAGGGATGCCAAATTTCCTTGTCTAGATAGAGCAATGGCTAATCTGAATTGGTACATTGCAATAAATTAGAGTATGAAGTAGCGATTAAGCTGTAGAAGCAGTAGAAGTTTTAAGGATGGGTATCTCCTAGCTGAGGCTTTATGTCCAGTAGGAGGTATGCTAGAATTTTATTTTTGTAATAGAATGTACGAATTGTAAATATTGTTACTTGGTAAATAAAATACTTTAATTACCTGGTAAATATTATTCTTATCTCTTTATGCTTTTGATGAATTCAAAATTATAATTTAGTAAAAAAAATATTATATTATTTAAATTTTTAGTAAACTACAAAATCTGAAAACTAATCAAATAAGTATTACACTAGAAAGGAATATACAAAAAGAGGGGATGCAGATAATGTTATGATATTTATATTTTTAATTAATTAAAAAATAAAAAATAAATAAACAACACTCAAGAAATGTATCAATAGTACTAAGTACTTGCTAATTTAATAATAAAAATAAAAATGAACAAATATTTTATTTGATTACTATATGATGTGTATTCTTTAATTTTTTATAGATTATATTATATTTGTGCATACTATATTAAATAATAAAATATAACTAATATTTATTAAATTAATCTAACATATTAGTTCATAATTTTATAAGATTAATATTCTGTTAAATTTTTTGCGTATCGTGTGAGTTTTTATACTAGTAACAAAGAAAGAAAAAGAAATTCTTTGAACAAGGTACACTTGTTACCACTCCTGTGTTGCCAAATGTCATAGCATTCTTCTCTTCTATTCCATAACTTCCTTTGGTTCTCTCTCCATTCTTGCGCCATTATTTCTAGCATACTGCAATAAATACTCATTTACTATCTTATTCATCGTTTCTTTGACTCCCTTTTTTCTTTGTATTTTTCTCCACAACTTTGAACTTTCAATTTCACAAATAATCATTATTAAATTTATATTTCTCCTTCAACATAAACTTCCCCTCCCCGTAGATTCCTAAAAATGGACACAAATGAAGAAATAGCATTGACCCAAATGAGGAAATCAGTTGAAAAGCTTGGTTCTTCCACTGAGGTAAGCATAATTGACTCCCTAATTCTTTCCTCTTAAGTGTAAAGTTTTAACTCTTAATTTGTACTGAAAATCAGGTCTTTTTTCTTTTTTTTGTTCAGGGTTATGGAGAGCAGACACTAATGAGGTTCTTGATTGCAAGATCAATGGACCCACAAAAAGCTGCAAAGATGTTTAGTCAGTGGCAAAAATGGAGGGCAGAAATGGTTCCAATTGGGTACATCTCCGATTCTGAAGTTGCTGATGAATTAGAAGCTAAAAAAATTTATTTGCAGGGATTATCCAAAAATGGGCACCCTGTTATGATTGTCAAAGTTAACAAGCATTTTTCTTCCAAGGATCAAGTTCAATTCAAAAGTAATTTCTTTTCTCCCTCAGAGTAAACGTTCTTCTTTAAAAAAAAATATTGCATTACCTTTTTTAGTTGTCTTGGTTAGTTCATTATTACTTATCTTTTTGTGTTTTTAAGATAAGAATATTCTGGTTGGTTCACTCAATGATGCCGTTTCTTAATCTTTTATTTTCCTAGTAATGGGCTATTGCACATGTCTTTAGTTTAAACAATCTTGTAGTTAGTTGTTAATTTCTTGGACTTGACTTCTTGTCGTTTAAAGTGTGCTAGCGTTAGGGAATCTGTAGCAGGAAAATAGTTTTCTTTCAAGTAATAAAAATCACTAATCCGTGTGACCAATAATATTTTATTGAAAGGAATACTATGTGTAAGGGTAGTTGATTATGTTTATTTAATTACAAGTTGATTTGTTAATATTGAACTGATATCTAACCAGCTATAAATTTTAAAATGACAAAAATTGATCCATAATATTGAACGTGGTAATGAGTGGGCGGGTCAAACTTGAACGAGCCAATGCGGGTCAAATCAGTAAATGGTCCATGAGCAAACCCGTCTAACTTTGATTGTGTCAAAATGGGTTGAGTCGAATAAAGTGTCATAAGCTAACCTTGTGTTACGGTCTATCGCAAGGAATGGAACTTGAGTCCCACATCGGTACTACAAAGTGCTGATGTAGGTTTAATATGGCCTTGGGCTCTCCCACCTAAATAGCTAGCTTTTGGGGTGTGGTTCTCCCTAGGTTGTATCAATGGTATCAGAAACACCCACCATCCTTTGTGTCCCCCGTGCTTTGGATGGTGACGTAGGTATTGCAGTGTTCGTCCGGGGCTAGGAATGTTTATATTGCCTTAGGCTCTCCAACTAAAGTGGATAGAATGAAAAGTTTAAAGTTAAATCGTTTCTAAATATAAAAGTGTGTTATTCTTTTACAACAGACTAATAAGGAAAGTGTGGCATTTAAATTGAAACAAAAAATATTTCTCAATGTTTGAATTTGATTCTTGATGTTTGAGTTTAGGTTGCATTTTGACCCGCAGGATTATACTATTTTAACCAAATAGTTTAATGGGTCATTTCAGATTCAATCTATTGGGTCAAGTTAACAAATGAGTCATAACACAACCAACTTAATATTAGAGGGGTTGGCAGATTTACCAAAAATGGGCTGTTTTTGCCACCTTAACTGCAAAGGTGGGCAATGATTTGTAGGTTTGGAGGGCCTAATCATATGATTGCCCATCATAAAACATGTGCTGCTTGTCCCCTTCTCTATTTCTTACATAGATCTTTTGAGTTACTTGTTCACTTTTAGCTTTTTCCTTAATTGTTGTCCTAATTTTCTGTTAATAGATTAGTTAAACACTATCTTGTCGGACTGATAATGAAATTTGAAGGCCTCAGTGCTCAATATGGTTGTCTTGGTGTGTAGTTTTGTTGGCTTATTCTGGCATGCAATAAATTGGTGTTCTTCCTATATAATAGAATTTTTCTGTGGCCTTTTCTTATAGCTTCTTGTTTTATATCATTCCTTTAAACACCCTACTATAGGTGAACTTCCTACTTGGTGAACAACGACGACGACGACCCAGTAAAATCCCACTAGTGGGGTCTGGGGAGGATAGTGTGTACACAGATCTTACCCTTTTTGCCGAGGATCTTTCGGCTTCCTACTTGGTGAAATGACTATAAAAGGGGTACGGGAACTCTTAAATTCCGAAAAATAATGTTTTGAGTTATCAAGGAACAATAGTTAAGGACATATACCAATCTATTTTGAGTTATTAGGGAACACTGGTTAAGACTTTTTCACCAAAATAACAACATCTATAGTGTTTACCAAGTTGTAGGATCGTAAATGAATCATTTTACGGTATTATTTTCTCTCGTATGCGCCCTTATCTCTGGTAACATAAAAGAGAAATTATTTGTGGTGACTAGTAATCGAATCTTGAATGAATCCTTCAGAATTCTTCTTTCTGTAGAATGTTAATTATTGCTTTTAACCAGAGGCGGATCCAGTATTTAAGCACTGTAGGTTCAATTTTTGAGATATTTAGTATTGGAACCATTATATTTATAAAGTTATGGGTTCAAAGTTCAAACCCACTATATATTGCAATTTTAGCGAATTTTTATACTAAATTTATACTCCGTATTGAAAGTACTGAGTTCAAATGAACCGGTACTATCACACTACATAAGACTCTGCTCTTAACAATAAAGTTAGTATTGACACACTTGCCTCTTTTGCAGAATTCGTGGTTCATCTACTAGACAAAACAATTGCAAGGTATCATTTTCATTCAACCATGTTGCTCTTTGACCATATCGAAAATTGCACATGAGGAACTACTTCTTAACTTTGTAAAATTGATGTTTCTTTACGTAAATCGAAGTGTCTGAGAAATTGCTTGAGAGAGAGAAGGAACATAGAGGTTTGTGCTGATATTTCTACCGAGCCAGCGAGAGACAGAGGTATGAGTGTGTGCATGTGTGTGTGCGTGCGTGAGAGAGAGAGGAGACAAGGGCAGCCCAGTGCACAAAGCATCCCGAGTTCAATCAAGGTCCGAGGAAGGACCGCACCAAATGGTGTGATGTAGGCAGCCTACCTTGATGCAAATATCAGTGGCTGATTCCACGGCTTGAACCGGTGACCTATAGGTTACATGGAGACAACTTTACCATTGCTCCAAGGCTTCCTTTGAGAGAGAGAGAAAGAGAGGACATTCTGAGAAATGGATGCATGTATTTGACTAGAAATAATATGAGCAGACTGGTTATGATAGTTCTTTGTTGGGCATTATTCTGTTTTTGCAGACTGTTGGACACTAAATTTTTTGTGTTATTCACAAAACTAGGTATACTGCTCAGAAGATTGGGCATGCATTTGTTTGGGACTGTAGATCCTTTTACATTTTATTATTGTAGTCACTCTAATATCTGTCTTTTCAATGAGGAGTGAAGTAATGATAGAAACCTTCTTCTCTTACTTGTCCAAGAACTGATAATAATGATAAACTGCTTAGTGAGGTAATGCTATCTAAAGAAGAGGATTGCTTTCTCTTTTGTATGGGCAGTGATAGTGATTTTTTAAAGGGGCACAAAAGAAAGTGCAGAGGAATTATTTCTCTCCTGATATCTGATGCAATAGAGTTGATGGATTAGGAGGTGGGTAAAAAACTGAACTTTCTTACCAATAAAATGTTAAACCGCTTATGTGGTTGCAGCTTAAGTTCTACCTTGATATTTATGAAGAAAATGAGCATCTACAAGAACCTAAAAGTGGCTTAGCATCTAGTCAGAATGACATTATCAATGCGAGTAGCATGCTTGCATGCTCCTATGTTAGGTGGATGCAGAATTGGAAGGATGAAATGGGTACAAGTATAGAGGAGTATAGACACTAGTTACGTCGTAATATTACAGACACTATTAAATAACCTGGAAAATTTATCTTTTGGAGCAGAATTTCATTTGGTTAAAAACTCTGGTCGATTATCACCTTGGATCTAAGGATAGGCAATTTAAATTGTAGATTTCATCTGGTGAATC